CCCTGGCTACACACTTCTCACATATACACACCCTTCCCGAGCACCCGTTTCTTTCTCTTTGTCTGGATGAGATATCTCTACTCTCCTCTGGGATATAAAGGAGGGCTACACTTGCCCCATGCTTGTCATTTGACCCTTCTGGTCGTCAACAGCCTTGGAGTCATCTTACCCTACCTGCCAGCTGGACCCAATAAGTGGCTTCTGAGTCTCCATCCTCCCTCAGACCCTGTGACGTGGCTTTGAGGCCGTCGCCACCCTGGGTGGGTGGTGTAGTCACACAGCCAGTGGAGAAGTCTTAGAACACTGTCTTCCCAAAGTTCCCTTTTACTAAAGCTAAACTATAGAAATTTGGCCTCACATGTTTAAATGAGCACAATTAGCATTCCTTATGGCTTAATTATATCTTTACTTCCAGTTCTTAGATTATAGAGCTTGTCAAGTTTTCTGGCTTTCGTACCAAAATGGTTCTTTCACCATTGAATTATATGCATAAACTAGGTCTTTTCTGTGAAAAACTTCCTGCCTGAAAATAACGGATGGCAGCCCAGCTCAGCCCTGGGCCTCTGCGGTTTATCAGATTTATGTGCACACACCCACTGATGGCGTGGAATACACTGGGAAGATCATGGGAAATTTGGCCAGCGAGTCCCATTTAGAAAGGAAGAAACTGGTAGGGGAGAGTTGGCAGTACTAGAAACTTACCTCCCCACCAAAAAAACAACATTGTTTAAAATACAGGTTTAAAAGATTTGAACTGTTGTGGAGAGGATGGAAGGGTACAGGATAAAAAAAAGGGCGTCTTGCCTGGAGTATTTCCTACAAAGTTATGGAACTTCCAATTTACAGTAAGCTTGCCCGACCTAGACGGCTTCAGGTGGCATTGAAGTGGGAGCACAGTAGGCATTGGGCTGTTCCTCACAGGTGGGGGACTGGCTTATTGCCTGATGTGTTAACATCTCCTGTCCTTACAGGCTAATAATGCCCTCACCCACCATATCACCATATCCCTTCCCCAACTTGCCATTTCCAAATACTTCTAGGAAGGCAGTGCCACTCTGATAATCTCAGACCCATTACGCTCTAAAGCTTTCTGTGAAATGGCTATGAACAGACTCTTCTCGGCCTGAGCCACTGCTGATTTCTCACAAGGGGTTTTTCCATTCTGAACCTGGCTTAGTTGCGTTCATATCAAATGTCTTAGCACTCTTTCTTCCTCAGACTTTGCCTTTACAGAACTGCCTTTCTCAGAAATACTTTTCTTAAAACACCAGGGGGTCTGAACATCTGGAGGAGGACAGCCACCAGGTGACAAAGCAGTGACGGGCTGAGAGTGGATCTGAAGCCCAGGGCCTGGGCCCCGGCTCTGTCTCTGTCAGCAGCTTGCCAGTTGCTTGTCTCTATATTATGACTCAGGCATAGTCAGGGATACCTCCATCATTGGATTTCTTCACTGATTGTTATGAAGAAATTTAAGAATAAATGTGAAGATAACATGAAATAGCTGAAAGAATAGTACTTATTAGCTCTGTGGCAGATACCCTGATGGGCCGTAGTAGGACCCCCGCTCCCCAGGTCCACTCGGTCACAGCTCTTGTTGGCTGGAAGAGAAACCAGCGCCCAGGCCAGAGATGACCTCAAGTCCATGTGCCGTATCTACATATCATACACAGCTTTTGGTTCGCTTTTTAACCAGTTGTGCTTTGTTTTCTTTTGCAGTTTTTCCCCAGTTATACTTCCACATGATACACCAGAGAAGAAAGGTCCTTTCTCATACTGAAGAACACAAGAAATTTGAATAGTTCCAGCTTCCGCTACGACCAGCAAGAAAACAACAAACACAACAATAAAAACCAACCAAAATGGCAAAATACTTTCCAGTGATCAAAAAATGCTGCAGACTTTTTGAGTTCCCAACACGTTTCATAGAAAATAAGTAAGAACTATTTTTAAAATATTAAAAATTAAAACCCATTGTCTCACGAGCCTGTGATTTTTATATATATATTTAAAAAAGGAAGAAGGCTGTTAACAGCCTTCTTAGCACCCTGGCCGGTCCATCTCAGCACGCTCTTCCAACTAGAAATTCTCTTATTTGTGATGGCAATAGGAAGGTATTTGGCGTTTTACATCCCCCTGTTTCCTTTCTGTATCTGATAAATAAATACCAGTCTGGAACACTGAAAGCCTGAGAGTTACAGCCCGAGTGACAAAGTCTCAGCCGAATGCCCAGCTGGCGGTAGAGTTACATTTCAGTCTGCAGTGTGTTTCTCATTCCCTTTTCAAAGTGCTTGACTGCATGCTGGAAACTATTTGTATTTTTGAAGTGGCAAATTCTGTTCTCTGGAATGCTCTCTGAAGTTATGGCTGGGATCTATCCCTTCTTATCTAGTGAATGAATTATAAACAGTATATGCCTGTGATGCTCTGGGGGTTGATGCTTGTTATCAGAAAACAGAGTCCTTTTGTTTGTCTTCAGTTAAGTCTTTACTGCCTGCTACTAAGGAACGTGCTTGAGTAGAATTTCGTAACTACGTGTGCATTGTAAAGGACCTCCCTGATCCTGGGGTTCGGCCCCCATCACATTTTAATAGGATGACAGTCCTCAGAAAGGGAAGATCGATAGCTACCAAACGGTGTTCCCTGTCACACTACCCATCTCAGACACCACCTCCAGGTAACGTGGAGCTGTACTGATTTCTGGTCCTGAAACCAAGCTCGTCACGTTAACAGTAGGAAATCTGTTCCTGAAAGCACGTGGAAGGTGGTGCTTTAGAAGTAGGGTCTGGAAGAACATCTAGGAACAGATATATACTCTGGTGTTTTTTGTTTTTTGGTTTTTTTTTCATTTTCTTTTTAAAGTTTCATGCAACTCTCCTGTTTGTGTACTTGTCCTCCTGTGATCCTCTTTTCATTCCCACAAAGTTGTAAGTTGCAAAGCCGTGAAATGATCAATGTGGGCAGTCTTGAGTTAGCCATAGTGTCCTTGCGCCCTGAAGCAGGACTGCTGAGACGCGGGGTTTCAGTCGTTGATACTGCATTATTACAGTGTGTCTCTATGTATGAGATGCAGCCTGTCACTAGCAGCAGTATTGCATCAAGTCAACCGCTGGCAACAAGAATACAGCAGACAAGTCCCTTTTTTCCAGAAAGGATCTGTAGCCTCATGTGGGTTTCGTCCATCGACTGTGCTTTTTGAAACTCTTGAGGAAAAGAGTTGTGTGCAGATGCAAAGCTCAAGCTCAGCTGAGCTGTAGGTTTTAAATGTGTGTGTGCGCTTTGTGAAGGCTTCTTTCAGGTGTGCCCCCCACCCCCGCCACCTGCCCACCCACTATTTCTTGGTTTACTCTTTAAAACTTTAAAAAGTCTGCTTACTGAAGAGTTATTGTGAACTATAATTGCTAATATCAGAGGAGTGCCACAATGGGAAATTAATTTTGCAAATGCTTGTTTCGTAAAAACTTGGAAATTGAGATGAAAATGAGGCGCAAATATGCAGCCTAAAATATAATGCAAGCAGGTGTGTAATAAATTGGTTTTGAAGTAAACATTAAAATTCTGCTTCTTAAACTCAGCACCCTTTAACTCCAGGAGGGGATGGAACTGTTGTTGTTCCTGACAGACACAAGATGTGGGGGAAAGTTTATCTATGCTGCTTCTCTTTCTTCCAAAACTCATTACTACTTGGGCTTTATCAGCCCTGTTCCTTTATCGGATTAACTTTCATCCGTTGTTTTTGTGACTTGTAGAAGAAGGGCCGAAACACGTAGGTTTTCGAGGACTGCTGAGACGCGGGGTTTCAGTCGTTGATACTGCATTACAGTGTGTCTCTGTGTATGAGACGCAGCCTGTCACTAGCAGCAGTAGTGCATCAAGTCAACCGCTGGCAACAAGAACACAGACAAGTCCCTTTTTTTCAGAAAGGGTCTGTAGCCTCTTGTGGGTTTTGTCCATCGGCTTTTACAATACTTGCAACAGATGTGAGGCACGTGCTGTGTCCTTCAGTAACCTCTTGGAATAACTCGGTTCCTCCTCCCTACCGGGAATTAATTTTTCCTCTAAAAGGATGGTGTTCTTTTATAAATTGAGAACACCCAGCGTCACCACATCTTCTCTTGAAGTGTGATGTTTTGGTGTGTGTTTTCTCAGACTTAGCGGTTTCCTTTCAGGACATAGTCAAAGGCATCATCCCCACCCCATGTGGATTTCAGTCCCCCCACCCCACCCCCCCCACACACACACCCAGGGGCCTTCTTCAGGCAGAGAGAACCCTTTGAAGGACTCAGCAGTGCCCTTAGACACAAGCTGCTAATCCACATCACGCAGTG